ATTCGGAGTGGGATCCTGCTGCATTTGTCGTTTTAGCTCCATTTCGAAAATGCCCTACTTGGTCGTGTATTCCGAAATGTCGAGCGTTTCTGAAATTTGTCGTAGCTTCCCGATACAGCGTTCATCGTTCTGCGCTTCACATTCGGAGTGGGATTCGGCTGCATTCATCGTTTTTGCACCATTTCGAAAAATGTCAGACTTGGTCCTGTTTTCGCTTATGGCGAGCGTCTCTGAAATTTGTCGTAGTCCTGAGATTATGAGTTCATCGTACTGCGATTCACATTCGAAGTGGGATTCTGCTGCATTTGTCGTTTTAGCTCCATTTCGGAAAATGTCAGAATTGGTCCTGTTTTCGCGGATGGCGAGCGTTTCTGAAATTTTCGTCTGAATCTACGATTCGATAGCAGCTTTGTATGAAGCAGATTCGTCTTAATTGAGTGAATAGGAAATGGATCCGACAGACGTTGAAATCTCGCGAAAATGGCGAGTTTCTGATTTAGTCGAAATGGTGTTAAATTTTTTTTGGCTACGATTCGATAGCAGGGCTGTATGAAGTCAGTTTCGTCATCATAGAGTGATAAGAAATTTTTTCCTCCCCACATGGAATTCTTGCTAACGTAGGGATTTTCGGATTTCGCCGAAATTCTGTGAAATGTGGTTTTTCTTGCTATGATTTCTTATCAGCGCTGTATGAATTTAGTTTCGTCATGATTGAGGGAATAGAAATTTGTTTCGCCACACATGGAAATCTCGCTAACGTAGGGAATTTGGGATTTAATCGAATTGCAATTATTTATGTTTTTTCTTTCTACGTTTCGACATTAGCGCTGTATGAATTTAGTTTCGTCATGATTGAGTGATAAGGAATTTATTCCTTCACACATGGAAATTTCGCGAACATGGCGAGTTTCGTGCTTTCGTCGAAATGCTGTGATATAGGGGTTTTCTTGCTAGGATTCGACTTCAACCCTGTATGTCAGTTTCGTCTTAATGGAATGGAGAGGATTTTGTTCCGCCAGACGTGGAAATCTCGCGAACTTTGTGAATTTCGGATTTAGTAGAATTGCTGTGAAATAGTGCTTTTCTTGCTTGGATTCGACTTCACCCCTATAATAATTTAGTTACGTTTTAATGGTTTGGAGAGTAATTTGTTCCTCCCGACATTGAATTCTTGCGAATGTGAGGAGTTTCGGATTTAGTCGAAATGCTGTGAAATGATGTTTTCCTATATATTATTCGACTTCAACACGGTAGGGAGTAAGTTTCGTCATCATTGAGTGAACAGGAAATTGTTCCGCCAGACATGGGATGTAGTCGAAAAGCCGATATACTTTTTTTTTTCTGCTACGATTCGACATCAACGCTGGATGTAGTTAGTTTTTTCTTAATGGAATGGATAGAAAATTGATCCGCCTCACAGATATCTCGCGAACTTGGTGAATTTCGAATTTAGTCGAAATGCCGATGTGCTTTTTTTTTCGTGCTACGATTCGACATCAGCGCTCTATGATATCAGTTTCGTCTTCATGGTGTGAATAGAAAATGTTCTGCCTCACTTGGAAATCTTGCGAACGTGAGGAATGGTATGTTCTGGTGATGCTGGGAAATGAACTTTTTCCTGCTACTATTCGACTTCAACGTTGAATAGTCAGTTTCGTCTTTGTATCAACTCCGAAATGCTGTTATTTCGGCTTTACCGACCCTCGATTCAAGTCAGTTTCGTCTTAATGGAGTGAATAGGAAATTGTTCTGCCAGACATTTAAATCTCGGGAACCTGACAATTTCTCATTTAATGGAAATGCTGTGATATCGTGTATTTCTTTATTAATTGGGAGAATATTCACATTGCTCATCATTTAGAATAAAATCAAAATTCACCTTATCCGCAAAGTTTGCATGTGCTGTAGAAAACTTTTCTTTTCACTGCATCAAGATGAAACTAGCTTTAAAGTTTGTTAATGTCGAATCATTGCGCGAGAAAGACCCATTTCACAGCATTTCGTCTAAGTATGAAATTTGCCACGTTCGCGAGATTTCCTTGTTTAGCAGAAATATTTTCTATTCATTCCATGAAGAAGACATTGACTTCATACAGCATTCATGTCGAATTGTAGCTGGAACTTCCACTCATCATTTTATGTTGACTACATCTTAATTTCGACATTTTCCGGCGATTTGCATTTTAAGCTAAAATCTTTTTTTCATTCACTTCTTCAAGGCAAAAGTGACTTCATACATCGTTAATGTCGAATTTTAGTTGGAAATACCACATGTCACAACAGTTCGACTATATTTTTTCACGTTCGCTAGGTTTCCTTGTCTGGTGAAACACTTTTCTAATCACTCCTTAAAGACGACACTGACTTTTTTTAGCGTAGGTGTCGAATCATGGCACCAAAATGCTCATATCTCTGCTTTTCGACTTCGGCCTAACTTCGCCACGTTCGCGAGAATTCCATGTCTTGATGAACAATTTTCTTTTCAATTCTCGAAGACGAAATTGACTTCATTCAGCGTTGATGTCGAATCGTAGCTAGAAAAAAATCCCCTTTCGCTTAATTTCTTTGAAATTTCAGTATTTGCCATGTTCTCGAGATTTCCTTTGAAGTCCTTTAATTATTGTCTTCTTAAAGGGAGTTGTTAATATGTCAATAGGCTGACCATCTTATCGACAAAAGTCGGTGGAAAAAGAAATAAATACCACTGGGTGATCAGAAACTGTATAGAAAGAACAATTTATGTTTTTGGGATTTTTGTAAGAGAGTGAATGTTTACATAAAATTAATCGAGACGTGTTCTAGATTGGGGATTATATAATTTTTTGTGCTTGAATTTAGTGTCAGTTTGGTGGAAGTCACGCTTAGCTTCTGTTAGATGTTAAATGAGGTCTTTTTCCTTGATTCACGAGGTTGAACCTCTATTCTCTACTATTTTCTTTATTGAAGCTTTCGGCCAGACGATGAAATCTTGTGAACGTGGCGATTTCTGTATTTTTTATACTCTGTTGCTGGGCCTTTTTCTTTTCTCCATTTCGCCTTCATAAAGTCAGTTTCGGTGGTGAGAAATCCAAGTAAAAATTCTCCGTTCGGCATATGGAAAGGTGGCAAATGTGGCGATTCCTACATTCTGTCTCTCGCTTTGGTTCGACCTGGTAGCTCTATGAAATCAGATTCGGTTTTGAGAGATGAATAGAAAAATTTTCCGCCAGAAGTGAATATCTTGCGAACGTTGCGGGAAATGACCCACTCCTCGCGTTTGCGTGCGCGCTGGTCCGAACGCGTTTGTTGTTCCTGCACGCCGTCCGTGAACATTCTGAGGACGGAAAATTGATTTCCTCAGATTATAAGCATTCCTCCCCGTGTCGTCGCTTAAAGCCTGATGCTTCGCGCGGAACCGCATGTGATTTTTCGCTGGTCGACCCCATCTGGGTTTCCCTGTCGAGCGCGCACTTCAGAATTGCTCAAAATTTTCTATCATCTCCGGACTTTCTTAGAGAAATCGGCATGCGTTCCTCGTACCCGCTTTGAAAACCTGCCATTTTTCGGGCTGCGCAAGGAAGGAAACGTAGGGGCGGCGAAGTTGTGGGAACGGTACGTGAAAGCCTTGCGTTGAAGTGGAAAGGTAACAGAAAGACTCCAGCCAAGTTTAATTCGGTGTGAAGAAGAAAACATGAAGTTCTTTGGAATGCGCCAAACCATTCTTTACAGCTTAAATAAAGATCGGATAGGCAATAACGTTCGCAGAGGAACAGAGGGAAAATTGAGACTTCAAAATGGCTTCAGAACAGAATTTTAAACAAAGAATCTCGCGCTTTCGTCGGGCTCGTGTATGCGTCCGTCTTCCAATAGCATCTCTTTAAATAGATCTCAGGGTTTTAAGATGTTTTTAGCAACGTGTCATCGTATGACGCTTCCGCACAGGAAAGACCTGCAGGAACCGCGAGCGCGGAGGGAAACGGTTTTAAAAACCTCCCATATAGCACGTTACGTTGGACCCACGCTGGGTGATGGTGGGAGACGGCGGCGGAACGTGGATGTCGGGGAACGATGTTGGCCCGACCAGGGCATATCCCCACGTCCAGAACTGCGTTTCTCCCGGTGGAGAACTTCAACGCCTTGAAGTTCTTCGCTAGGCCACCAGTTATATGGGACTCGTTTCGCACAGTACCCAAAATTTCCATTTCCTCTTTCCCTGGAATCGTCCTTCGCAGGATTGTTTAATATCTCATCATACACTATGTCTCGCCTTGCCTCAATGAGATTCAATAAACGCGGACACTTCATCATTTGTTAGCCACTTATTCAGGCAGATTCATGGACCCCGGGCCATAAACGAGCTCATATTCCCTATGAGAATTCGTTTGAAAGGATTAAGAATATGTATGGAGCGCCCATGAATTCAATTCCATGATATTCTCATCTTGATGAGTTAGGAATTAATGAACTGCTATCGCGGATACTTCATAGAACCGTGAGGTGATCCATTCTTTGACGTGTTGTAACCAGTAAAGTTGAGGGTAGGTTGAAGTTAGTACTGTCCTGTGTCTCATGCCTATCTGGTGCATATAAACATGTTCATGGCATGTTGCTATACATAGAACAGGTTCTGTACTGCCGATGGGAGAACCTCCACTGGATATTGAACTTCAGGATATGGTGTGAAATAATTATGACTAGTATAGAGCAAAAACCAACTATTTGAGTAAGGGGCAACGTGGGCCCCACGAAAAAGTTATTTCTGGGCTTTTTCACCTAGTATTTTCAAAGAACTTCAGTGGAAGACGGGAACGAGGACTATATGTTCCGCACTCAGCATGACTTAAGCAGGCTGAAATTCGTTCAGATGAAGATATCAAGATAATATTTAACTAAATAAAAAAACAAAAGTATTAACGGATTATTCAGGAACCAACAAGAACTCATCGGTGAGCGCCGTTGCCACTCTGCTGGAATCGGACCAAATGAGGATTCATCGGTAAGCGACGTTGCCACTACGCTCTCGTCGATATAGTCAAAATGGACACCGTAGCGAAGACGCACGAAGGTGAGTTCCGACTTTTTTATTATTGTTTCCCTCAGCTAAATTTTTCGTTTTTTAGGATGCTTCTTTCAGCTGATCGTCTTCATAATGATCCAGTGGTGACAAAATGCGGCGTTCTTGGTGCAATTACAGATATAGAAGCGCAGATACGCGAAATTCAAGAGAGGAAGAAAGGGATTTCGGAAGGAGGACCCGAAGCAGATCGCATTGGCTTGGGAGAAGCTGGTTACTTCGATAAGGATATCTACGGTGGTAAAGGGAAATTTGAAGGATATGTCACTTCCATTGCTGCGAATGAGGAGCAGGACGTGAGTTGTATTCCGATGTTGTAATATAGAAGGCCTATGATAACCTCATGGTTTGTTCGTAATAGCTAACGCTAGACCCGAGACTAACATTAGCAAATCACTTTTTTTCATGCCAGATCTGTAGTAGATATAGGCCTAACACTTTTGAAGTTCAGTGCCCTATTAAGGGTGACCTGTAAGGACTTTTACGCCTAATCGATGCTGCTACGTTAATCTTGGTCTAACGGTAGTTTTGTTTTGGTTGAACACCTATCACTCATCTCATTTTTGGCCCCATCCTATTGTACTTACACAATAGTTATCAAACTTTACTGCTTGCGTTCTTCAGTTGCCTGGAAGATGAACTATCGGCAAAAGTATTCTTGTTGCAGTGTTAGTGGCATCGAATCAGAATGAATTCTAACTGATTAATTCAGGAAGAAAAGATTGTCTGACACCTTCCATTGGATGGGAGCTTGATGCACCAAAATAAGTGTGCCTGAATGATTGCCTACTTGTATCTCCCTAATAGTTTCGTGTTTAGAATGAGGTCAGTCGTGCATTCGTTGTCCCCATCCTTGTCTGAGAAGGCATCAGGGCCTAAGTGCATCACTATGAAGTGGCAACTCACAATTCAAGAGAATCTAGCTTAACTCGTATGAATGTGATTCCCGATTGATGAGAGAGCCAGTCTGAGAAAGGTGCATATTGGATGGAAAAAGGGATTCCATAGAGAATCCTCTCTGTTACTATCAGAGCTCATAGTAATTATAATTTGTTGAGGTATTCATCTGTATGAGTTTTACAGAAACTGTTACATTAATAACAGAATCTTATATGTTAAGTTTTATTAGGTATTTTTTCTTAAATAAGCTGCCCTTACACTATCCCCTTTTAACTGCTAATTGGCAAAAGTGTGCATTATATGAAATATTCTATGAGAATCATGTCATGTCAACATTCGTTGTCTTCATTGTCATTGATTGAGCTGTCAATTTTTATTTTGAAAAAGGGGTGATTTGAAAACTTCAGTCCATGCATATATGCAGTAGAATTCAAAGTCAAAAGTGGTACCCTGCACCCTTTCATATTCTCATGCCACCTTGTTGTTCTGCACCTCACTAGCTTTGACACAAGATAATGGCATGCACATCTACCTAAAACATAGTATTTGAGATAGTTGTATTTTAGGAAGGGTTTGAAAGCATGTTCATATTTAGGATCCAAAGAAATATTCCAATATATTATGCAAAGAAAGTATATCTGAATCAATCCTCATTTATCTACCATTCAGGAATTGCTGATATATTGTGGAACAGTTATGGCATTGTTATGTTTAGGCTTAAGTATAGAATGGTACTAGTACTATATTTTTGGATATGAAATTAATTTATTATTGAACCTTTTCAGGATGACGAGTATGAACCACCTGCTCAGCGTGAGAACAAGAGAACCAGTTACACAGCCCCACTGGCACTGCTAAACGACATTCCCCAGGTATGTGGATTATCCATTCAATTTTGCTTGTTACAGGCCCTTTGGTGAACTTAAATGAAGTGAGCGTATCATTATAGAAGCATATGTGTCTCAGAGCTATAGTCCAAGAGACAGATAAGGATTATGTACTTGGCAAGAATTTCACACTGTTTTTATACAGAGCCATTGAAACTCTGACTCAGTCTTCAGTATTTTATGGTTGATTATATTGACCTACATAACATTTAATACATGATCAAATGCCACTAATGATGTACCTGGAATACCAAAGTACCTGTTGCAACTATTGCAGCCATTGTGTCATATGTGCCACATGTCAGTATGTATAGTTGAGTCACTCTTTAGGGTGACACTGGTGATTTTGCCACCGCCATCCATCAACCTATTTATGGTGAGGGGTGATCCTGAGAGGAGTGCTAACACTGGAAAATCAAAGAACCCAAAAGTTTTTACTATCTCATGAACTTGAGGGCTTCCTTACAGAGCCACAAAGGGAAAAGGACGTTTTTCACCCTTTGTTATTGTTCATTTGAGTGTCAGCCTAAAGAGTGGCCCTACTATATGATGTGCTTGGTCTAATCAAGACTGTTAAAGTGTCATTTAGGCCTGTGAGATCCTTTTTATTTCCTTCCCAGAGCATTCCATTATTTTGAGTATTTTTTATGTAGAACATCACGAAATAAACATAATGCGATTTTGTGCAGGTGGGCTACACGTATGCATGTTTGACTTTTCCAGGCTGACAAGGATTATGATCCATTTGCGGAGCACAAGAGACCCACCATTGCTGATAGGGAGGATGAATACAAGCAGAAGAGAAGGCGCCTCGTCATCTCACCGGAACGTGTGGACCCTTTTGCAGATGGTAGGTTTCTTTGCTCTAAATCATAAGAGCTTTCTCTTCTAATTTCTTAAGTAATTATATGTTAGAGGGCTGAGGAGCGAAGTGAATGCAATCAAGTCCAATGCTGTTGTCATGATTTTGATTTGGTGCTAATTTTAGTCAAGACTGGATATATAAGTTTTTCTTTGGGATGAAATTCATGAGAATTTTAAAATGGCAAATCCATTAAGTGCTCTCTCAGCACCTCTTCTGTTTCTTTAGTGTCTTGTAGGTTAGCCTTAGAAAGTATTTTGAGTTGATGGTCCTGGACTGGGATAGTGTTAGACTATGGTGACTTTCTGATGCTTCATGGAAAAATTGACAATTTCTTTTAGAAAGTTTTTTTATTTTTGGAAGAAAATGAAAGGCTAAGTATTAAAAGTTCCTTTGTCCATTGACTCCCTACATGTATGGATGATATTGGAAACCCCTAAGATGGTGGGTTTCTCATGGGACCTGTGCCATATGGTGGAAATCACTTGTTAAAAATGCATTATAGCAGTTTGCTCTGCTTTGCTATATGCTTTTGGAAATCGCATGGTTTATGTGCCATTAAGTTTTATCACCATCCCAGCTCTTGAATCTGTGTGACTGATGATGTATGGTATGTGTGCATATTGCACATTTCATCACTCCAAGCCTTAGTCTTTCTCGTGATAATATACAAGCTCTTGTAGCAATATGAATAAAATATTAAATTAGTTCTCTGAGAAAGTATAAAGGACAAGCTTCTATTTGAACTGGAACATCTTCAAGTATAAGCATCTAACTTATGCCTAATGTGCTGGTGGAAATTTATGGATGTGATAATTGCTTCTTAGTATCATATTCCTTTCCCTCTATGACATTTAACAAATGAGTCTTGTTGAGATTTGATTGACCTGATCCACTTGGAGTGATAAAAACTGAGGTTGTGAGTGATTGCTTTTGCGTGCTTGTGGAAGCAAGAGGGAAGTTGATAGCAGTACTGCATGTTGTTTGAATGGAAGCTTGAGTGCAAGGACTTTTCCAGAAGCCACACACTAATTCAGACTCTTTTTCCTCCCCTTGATGACAGTCCACCGTGTGAACTCCAAGAGCCAATCTCTGCTGCCCTCAGGCTGCTTCACGCCCTGATTTCTCCACCATTTTGCAGTTTTAAGATTTTGATGGCAGTTCTTAACTGTTCACTTTGTTTGCTCTTTTAGATCTCTTAGCATTACATCGTAAAATGTGGTCGCGAAGAGGGGCAAGCTGGCCGGACGGAACGGTAAGGTCGTGAATAGATTGAGATGGAAACAGTGGCCTGGAATGAATGCTTGAATGAGTGGGTGTGTGAGTGTGGTTATCTTGGTATTAATGTCACAAGCCTTATTTCAGGTTCTCACTGCTCCTTCTGCGACGTGTTTTATGTAAAAAAAGGCGATGGTGAAGAGTCAAGGTCGAGGAGACACGTACGTTCACCTATGTCCTCCCAAGACAGCCTTCTCCTTGAGCCAGAATCCCCATTTTGCAAATAATTATATGCTCTGTTGTGTATTGCTTGATCTGGCTTGGGGAGAACAAGAGGTTTGTTCCATATTGACTATTGAATCTGGTTGCATAATTTAGCTGTGACACAACCAGATGAAGCAAGGGCATCTGATGAGCCACTCTACTGGGTGATCCAAAAAAATAATCTATTTCAATCAATTCTTTTTTTTATGGAATAAGACAGTGCTTTGGTATATGAGTTTTGCAACATGGTAACATGGAAAGGTTTCCTTGATATATCTTGTTGAATCCTTAGAGGATATGAAGCATTCAAATGATGTATATGAAGGTACAATGTAATGCCATAATTCATGAGCTGTAAATTAGACTGTAGACTGTTCATCAGAGATTTTATTTTTTTAGTGGTCATTCTTGGCCTTCCATCAGGTCTAGTAGGAATCGCCTTGTATTTTTCCATTCTGGTTTTGCCAGTATCATGGCTTGTTCGGTGTTCTTAATTTTGTTTTAAATGCTTTTCTGCTTCATATTCTTTGGGTTCCATTTGCCTGTATCAAGAAAACTTTAACCCTTCAGTCCTGGGGGTCACTCAGGAGTTTCACTTTTTTTCCCTATATATTTTGCAGGGGGGCAATATGGGAAAAAGCATGGCCTCGAGGCCTAGTGATGCTTCTGAGTGCCTGTGACCATTTGGAGTTTTGTTTGGATGTTTTTGTGATTGGCATTTCATTGGTTGAATAAGAAACATTTTTTGTGTCATTTATATTTTTTAAAATTGAGGTCTGAAAGGGTTAAGTCTTTTCAATCATGATGCAGACACCACAGCAATGGATGTCTCATTCTATAGAAGAAAGTGATTGAAGTGGGACTTTTTCTTGATTTCCCAAGTATTTTCTCATGCCTAAGCAATCAATTATAACTGTGTAATGCGGAAGAAATGTAAAGAATATGTTGGTGGTTTTTTGTAAGGAGGTTCTACACAGCAGTTCCACTCCGTGAGTGATGGGAAAGAACTTGTAAAACTTTGTGGTATCGTGGTGCTGGTGCCCCTTGATAATTGGAAGCATTGCTCTTTTCTTGTGTGCAGGTGGGAAGACTCCTGACATCAACTCAAGAACTTATGCAGCCATCCTAAAAGAACAGTCTCTCAAAGCAGAAGAGCATGAGGTAGTTCATTTCCCCCCATCCTTTTCCTCCTGGTTTTAAGGCATGACCTAGGGAACCATTAAATGATTCTTCTTTTTGTCATAACAGCTTCGTAAGAGACTCGTGGAGAAAACAAAAGATGGGACACTGAAAACCCAAACTGTTTCCAACGGGGATGTCCCTCGCCAAGCACCCCGGAAACGAGCCCGCTGGGACGTGACAACTGAAGAAGGCACGCCTACTGTGGCTGTCAAGCAAAAGAAAAGCGCCAATTGGGATGCTGAAGTGAGTAGATACCGTATTTACTCCAGTATAGTGCGCCACCGTGTATAAGACGCACCCCCGCTTTTGAGGTCCCAATTTGTGTAAAAAAAAGATTCCTCGCGTATAAGGCGCACCCCCCCTATTTTGTAGCGAAAAGTGTCGGACAAGGGAGATGAATAAGGGGTATAGCCTGTCTTGAGGTAGGTCGAACCTCGTTTCTTATTCACTGTCCTGACCTTTATCAGGGGGGGGGGGGCACAGTATCCCTAACGTTTGTTTTATTATCCGTGAAAACGGATGGAAATATACGGCGAAATAACACAGCTGCAGAGAAATCTTTGTGATTCAGGAAGCGAAGGAGCTGGGCATCCATGCAATAGGTCATAAGTATGACATCGAACCCATACGATTTCGAGAGCAAACGGGATCTCCCATCGAAAATTCAATGCATCATGAGGATGAACGACGCGATTCATAAGCAAGTTGGATTTTCTGTTCGTCGGAAAACATCAGCAGCTTTCCATGAGAAATGATTGTCTCTGGAACGGCCCCTCGGAGGAGGATGTGAGCTCCGCGAATCAATTTTCCACGCCGCCAGAAACCTCAGATTCTGATTCCGATACTGAATGAAGTCCACGAATCGACGTAGCCACTCCCTGTTTACCGTTTTATAATTATTATATTTCTCCTGTTCTGACTGACTGCAGACAGTTTCTGCCTCAAATTAGTGATCAATGAGTTATAGGTACGCTGACAATTTTTTTCTCTCTTAAAAGAGAATTTTTTCCTCGAGTATAAGACGCACCCCCTCATCGAACACAATAAAATATGCAGAAAAAATGCGCCTTATACACGAGTAAATACGGTATCTTTACACTTGTGTCAAATTCATTCTCCTTTGTGTTTGCATCACCTGATGACATGATGTGTAAACCATGTATGAAAAGATACTAACACAGATATGATCACATTTGTTATGATGTTAATCCAGTATGTAGTTAATTTTTTTAATGAGAACATTTTTAGTTGGTTCATTGGCCAATGATGCCACATTATCATGCATATGTGATGGTAACATTTAAATTCAGAGGGTGCATAATATAATGCCAAAATTCAAACAGCAAAATAGATAGTGCCATTCATGAGGTTCCTTTACCATAACACACGTTGACTTTGTATCACAGACTCCAGGACATGTCCATGCACATTGGGAGGAAACACCAGGGCATGCCCGTTCTGGTGCAGGAGGGGAGACTCCAGGTGGGGCAGCCACTCCATCATCCACCCGCTTGTGGGATGCCACTCCTGGTCATGCCACTCCAGGTCATGAGAAGGCCACACCCTCTGCTCGCAGAAACCGTTGGGATGAGACGCCAAAGACTGAACGAGGTAAGAAAACCCCAACCTGACCCTTCATTATCTGTTTGTAAGAAACAACTGCAGCAATGATGGGCTTCTGCTTTTAGAAACACCTGGTCATGGCAGTGGATGGGCTGAGACACCAAGGACAGATCGAACAGGTGCAGCTGGAGATCTGATCCAGGAAACCCCAACTCCATCAGCCAGTAAGAGGCGTTCCCGCTGGGATGAAACTCCTGGTACTGTTGGTGGAACTAGTGTGGCAACACCAACACCTGTGGGTGCTGCCACCCCTCAGACACCTGGGACGCCTATGACACCCGTGACCCCAGGCATGATGACACCTTCGGGTGTAACCCCAACTGGACACAAGGCCATGGCAATGGCTACTCCAACTCCTGGTGAGTAAGACCTGATTTAGAAGAGATGATCTAAATGTCATCCATTCTTTCCAAGGAGAGATTGGTTAACTGACATTTTACTTTGTTTTCTTGTGTAGGGCACATGATGGCTATGACCCCAGAGCAGCTTCAAGCCTGGCGTTGGGAGAAAGAAATTGATGAGAGGAATCGACCTCTCTCTGATGATGATTTGGAATCTATGTTTCCACCTGGATACAAGGTTCTTCAGCCCCCTGCTGGTGAGTTGTTAATATTCCCTTGTGAGCGTTTTCCTTTTCAAATGAACATCTTCGAATCACTCATCCTCTTTTGCAGGTTATGTGCCAATTCGAACCCCTGCAAGGAAGTTGACTGCCACACCAACACCCATGAGCACTACCACAGGTTTCTACATTCAGACAGAAGACAAACAGACCAAGTTTGTGGACCTCCAGCCTAAGGGAAATCTTCCACTACTGAAGCCAGAGGATGCACAATATTTTGACAAACTTCTGGTGAGTCTTTTTTGTCTGAAAAGTTTGCAAGAGCAGGAGTATCTATTATAAATCTGGGATGGTTTCTACTTAAATTACTTGTAAAAGACTTGGAGTTTGAAAGATATGCTTCAATCCTTCATCCAGGTGGATGTTGATGAAGAGAGCCTTCCGCCAGAGGAACAGAAAGAGCGTAAGATCATGAAGCTGCTTTTGAAGATCAAGAACGGGACACCACCAATGCGAAAGGCTGCACTCCGTCAAGTCACTGATAAGGCTAGAGAGTTTGGTGCTGGCCCACTCTTCAATCAGATCCTCCCACTTCTCATGTCTCCTACTTTGGAGGACCAGGAACGACACTTGCTCGTCAAAGTCATAGATCGGGTTTTGTACAAGCTTGATGATCTTGTCAGACCCTACGTTCACAAGGTAAAGAGTTTTTTTTTTTTTTCATTTTATCCTAACCTATTTATGGGGTGTCAATTTTTGAAAAAGTTTTTTCAATGTGTAAAAAAAAAAATTTTTATAGATGTCATTGCAATGCAGCAGAAATCTTAGTACAGGAAGATTATGGTCTTAGTCACAATGTTTTCAGAAATTCCTCTGAGAATTTGGAACTTAATGGGTTATTATGCAACCTGGTTGAATATGGGATTGGGGATGAAAATTCCATCTGTGTTTCTAGATCTTGGTGGTTATTGAGCCGCTGCTGATTGATGAAGACTATTATGCCCGTGTGGAAGGGAGAGAAATCATCTCCAATCTGGCCAAGGCTGCTGGTCTTGCCACCATGATCTCAACCATGAGACCTGATATTGATAACATTGATGAGTGAGTCTTCCTAAATATTCTGTAACACTAGAGGTGCCTGAAATTCACCACATTCCTCTATTCTCCAGGTACGTGCGTAACACAACGGCTCGTGCTTTTGCCGTGGTTGCTTCTGCCTTGGGGATCCCGTCTCTCCTGCCCTTCCTGAAGGCTGTTTGCAGATCTAAGAAGAGCTGGCAGGCACGACATACAGGAATAAAAATTGTGCAGCAAATTGCCATCTTGATGGGCTGTGCTATCCTCCCTCATCTTCGGTCATTGGTGGAAATCATCGAGCATGGTTAGTTTCATATACAGCTAGAGCAGACTTGTACAGTATTTGATTAATTTGGAGTCATATCTACCTGAACAATCTTGTAATTTAAATTATGATATCCACTATAGGTTTGGTGGATGAGCAGCAGAAGGTTCGAACCATAACTGCCTTGGCACTTGCCGCCTTGGCCGAGGCTGCCACTCCGTATGGCATTGAAAGCTTTGACTCAGTCCTCAAGCCACTCTGGAAGGGTATTAGAACGCATCGAGGAAAGGGTTTGGCTGCTTTCCTCAAGGCCATTGGTTACCTTATTCCTTTGATGGATGCTGAGTATGCCAATTACTACACAAGGGAAGTGATGATCATCCTCATTCGAGAGTTTCAGTCGCCCGATGAGGAAATGAAGAAGATTGTCCTAAAGGTAACTTCTATTTTTAATAATCTCTAAATGTTTTGCAGCTCTGGGTTTTCATGTGCTTCATTTTTGGGTATTTATAGGTGGTGAAGCAGTGCTGTGCCACTGATGGTGTGGAATCCCAATATATCAAGGATGAGATCCTGCCTCCATTCTTTAAACACTTCTGGAATCATCGTATGGCTTTGGATCGTCGCAATTACCGCCAGGTACTTTTGATCCCTCTATTTTTTAAATGTTATATGACAGTATCAATTGCATTTTTATTTTATTTGACCAATTTCATCACTCCTGTTTCCAGCTTGTAGATACAACAGTAGAGATTGCCAACAAGACTGGGGCATGTGAGATTGTTACTCGTATCGTGGATGATCTGAAGGATGAGAATGAAGCTTACAGAAAGATGGTAATGGAGACACTGGAAAAGGTGCTGACAAATCTTGGAGCTTCAGATATTGATTCAAGGCTTGAGGAACAGCTCATTGATGGTATCCTGTATGCCTTCCAAGAACAGACAACAGAGGTCAAGTTACACTTTACTGATTGCATCTCGTGTTCTTCATGAAGACCTTCTATAACATGAAAATTTTTTTTAAATACAGGATGTGGTAATGCTGAATGGTTTTGGAGCTATTGTGAATGCACTAGGGAAGCGAGTGAAGCCATATCTACCACAAATTTGCGGCACCATCCTGTGGCGATTGAACAATAAATCAGCTAAGGTGCGACAGCAGGCTGCTGATCTCATCTCCAGGACTGCTGTCGTCATGAAAACTTGCCAGGAGGTAAGATTACTCTCTCCTGCCTGCTTATTCAAACTATAAGAATATTAGTGTAATTTTATGAGACCCATGGTTTATCTTTTTTTTTATATAGGAAAAATTGATGGGTCACTTGGGAGTGGTACTGTATGAATACCTGGGGGAGGAATATCCAGAAGTTTTGGGAAGCATTCTGGGAGCCCTGAAGGCCATTGTGAATGTGATTGGAATGCACAAGATGACTCCTCCCATCAAAGATCTTCTACCTCGACTCACACCCATTCTCAAAAATCGTCATGAGAAGGCAAGTCTGGAGTTCCTTATGCATCTCCTTTCCCATCCATCAGATTCATGATAGGAGTGCACTCATTATTTTGGCCCAAGAGAAGGGTGTGGTATTCATATCATGCTTGGGTTTATGAATCTGACAGATATCTTGCTCATTTTTCAGGTTCAAGAAAACTGTATCGATCTTGTGGGTCGCATAGCAGATCGTGGAGCCGAGTATGTGTCAGCCAGGGAATGGATGAGAATTTGTTTTGAGCTCTTGGAATTACTAAAGGCTCACAAGAAAGCCATTAGGCGTGCAGCAGTCAACACATTTGGCTACATAGCCAAGGCCATTGGGTAAATTACTTTGCATTTCAGGACTTGCAGTCCCTTATTTTTATCCTAACACTTTTTCTTTTTTATTTATAATTAGCCCTCATGATGTACTGGCAACACTGTTGAACAACCTGCGGGTGCAGGAACGTCAAAACCGTGTGTGCACCACCGTAGCTATTGCTATTGTCTCTGAGACCTGTTCCCCATTCACGGTCCTTCCTGGTCTGATGAACGAGTATCGTGTCCCTGAACTCAATGTTCAGAATGGCGTTCTCAAGTCCTTGTCTTTCATGTTTGAGTACATCGGAGAAATGGGGAAAGACTACATTTATGCTGTGACACCTCTCCTTGAGGATGCCCTCATGGACAGGTTTGTTTGATTTCAGTGCTCTTTTTCCTTGATATTTTTTTAAGACAATCTATGACCTATGGAAATGCAATTCCTATTACATTGGAATGTAATGGGAATAGGTATTTTCATGGCATCAATTAGTAGTTGACTTGTGAGAAAAAAAAAATGTGTAGGCCCTCATAATGTTTTAAATGTACTCATATATATTAATTTATGCTGACATGTTTTCTTCCTTTCATTAGAGACCTGGTGCACAGGCAGACTGCTTGTGCAGCCATCAAGCACATGGCATTAGGAGTATATGGTTTTGGCTGTGAAGATGCTCTTGTTCATCTCCTGAATCATGTGTGGCCTAATATCTTTGAGACTTCACCTCACCTAGTCCAAGCTTTCTTTGACTGCGCAGATGGTCTCCGAGTCGCTCTGGGGCCCCAGAGGATGCTACAGTATTCACTCCAGGTAAATCTTACAAAATATTGTTTAAGAATCTGTTCTTGTATGATGCGATAATAAAACTCGTTTTCTATGCAGGGGCTTTTCCACCCGGCACGGAAGGTGCGGGAGGTGTACTGGAAAGTGTACAACACACTCTACGTGGGAGGGCAAGATGCACTAGTTCCGGGGTTTCCACGCGTCCCCAACGACCCCAAGAACCAATATGTCCGATATGAGATGGACTACATCCTTTGAAGGAGAATGCATCTGCAAATGGAGTTTTTCTCTGCCTCTTTATTCTTATCTGTGTATGAAATCCTGAATTTGTATGAACATTTCTGTGAACATAGTGATTGGAATTCAGAGCATGTGAAAAGGAGAGAAAATATGGCAAGGACACTTTGTGAAGAAGAGAACAACATGTGACACACAATTGAGGTTTGTTTTCTGCGCCATCGTTGCAGGATGAGTTAGTTATGTCATTTTGCCTTTGAATAAAGTGGTGTGATGGAAACTTTTTTTTTTAAGCCTAAGTATGGTATACTCAACTTATGTACCAGCCATGTTCATGGTTCATCAACTCTTTCTCAATCTGTGTTCATGTTGGTGTTAATTTTATCATTTTACGAAACCTGGGGGTTACACAGACAGGGTATTCGATGCATTACCTGATCTCTCCATCTTGCATATTAAGTTGCTTATTCTCGGGGTCTGAGAGAGAACACCAAAACTCTGTGTACTGTGCAGCAAATCTGGGATGCACTCTTGTAATCCTGCAACTTGGTCTGTCCGTGAGTGACGGAGTAGTCCGCAAAAATTTGAGTTCTGTCAGTTTGTCTCATTATCCAAAGCCTACCAATATTTTTGCATTTGCATTGCCCTCCTAGTTGTCCATTTCAATTATGGAAATGTCTTGAAGTATTTTTGTTTTATCGCCAAGAATGAGAATCCATCCATCAAAACTAATGCTACTGTACATCAAGTACATTGTTTATGCAATCCAACTTAATCTCTATTGTCATGGGTTTTCTTTGATGGAAATGCATTTAATGATGTGCTTTAAAAAGTTACCTTTTTTTAAAATATTAGCTGAAACACCCAATTCCAAATTGCAAGTACAGTAATTAATCGACACTTCACCAGAGGTACAGGAATAGGCCATGAAAGAGTATTCAAGTGTATGTAAGTGTAACGCTCGCGGTCGTCTGGCGTGGCCGGCAGTATTACTCGTACGTCGCTGTACTTCAATTGCTACCCGCAAACTACCTTGACCGTCGCGAAACAAGAAAATTAAAAAAAGGATATTAGAAATTGCCCTTTTTGGGACGGTTCGTATCGGTCGGACGGAATCGGTGGCCGTTAGACAATGATTCCAACAGACTGGGTTTTCCCAGGATTTCGTTTATTCCATTCCTGGCTCTCATCGACAAAGTACCCAAAATGAGATTGTACAAGATCCTCCTCAGCACAACTTCGCGATCGACAGCTTTCGCTTTTAAAGGTGAGTGAACAAAAATGAAAGAACTTCTACGAACAAGAAAATGATTCAGCTCACCCCCTCGATGCAGCACTTTCGCGAGGTCTCGTGATTTGTTCAATCACGGCTAAACAACGAAACCGGAAGGGGTTGCCCACTATCCGCTTTCGGCCTTGCTATTTCTATACGTCCCTTCTGGCTCCAACCACATCCACCCAAGCCCGGCTCCAACCGAGTAGAAATATCAGCAAGGCTCAGACGCTGAATGGTCGGAAAGCCGGAAGGATGTTACCGAAAATGGATTCAGGAGATTTGGGGAAAGTGGTCGACCTCTGATCCCTCTTGACAGCGGAATCGCGGCAAAGCCATAGATTTCACGAAGGCCGCCAGTCTGTCCTCATTTGTCGCTGCCCTAATTTTCTGTCATTCTCCTTTGTTAACGATGAAAGGACACGTGTAGAGAAGTAGCAATTAATTTCAACCCCTTCGGACCGTAGCCTGGCACCACCATCACTTCATCTACAAAGTATTAATCATAGAGTATTTGTCTCCTATCTGTCTCTGAATGTTGAGGCCATTAGGCCTGCAGTTCAATGCCTTTAGGCTTGCAATGTCTATGAAGCATCATGGAAAAAGAAAAACACTCAAGGTCAATTGAATGTATTACAAATGAATTTCAACAAATACATATGATATTGCTTCATTGCCTGCAAACAAACTACCCGTAGGAAAAAGTAAACAAACCAATGAATCACCAAACCTTGCACTTTTTGAAAGGGTTCATGGGAGTTCCTTTACGACAACTAAATGCCCGGCCAAAGTCTTCATTATTGCGCAGCGTGCCAATGACACGAAACTCATTAGGTGCATGATAATTATTCACCACTTGGAACTGAAGGGCTTCTTTTGTCTCCACTGAACACCAAGCCTGGAATGATAGGCAAACTATGGTAGTTCAATGGCTTCTAAGTAGTACCAAAACACAAAAATATGATTTTACCTAAAATAAAAATGGGGTATTATCCACAAAAAGAACATACCACTATTAACATGTAATTGTTTGACACTATTAATCAAGTCATATTGCAGATCAGATATGTTCCAAAGGAGAAACCAAGTTATGAATCATTAACATGCCAGTCATGTTAATGATTATCCGATTTTTGACAATGAATCATATCATCACCTGTGCAAAGCTGATGAAGAATAGTTGTTGAGATGTGAAATTCAAATCAGGGAGAGAAAGATCTTGAAAATCAGGCCGTTTGCTCAGCCAATCGTTGTACGCTGTGTACGCAGCCTTGAGTCCTCCACTATCAGCCAAGTTCTCACCTAGCATAGAAAATCCCAGCTTTATTAGTCATGGGAAGATTTCAGAAATGGTGGAAGTAAAACATTCAGAGTTGAGCACAAACTTAGCGTCTGTATTCCATTCAGGTTTTCTCCGTTGATGTGAAATTTGGTATATTGATCATAAAAGCATTCTGCTTGCTGGGAGAAGCGGTGAAGGGTGCCAATACTCCACCATGCATTCATGTTTCCGTCCTTGTCATACTCTCTCCCTGTAAATGCCAAATATGGGAACTGCACAGTTATTTAATGGAAGACCACTTGTTTTCTGTGTAATGCCTTTGTTTTTTTGCCATCGGAACAATCATGTATGATAACTATCCTCCTTATATAGTATAACAGCCTCCTCTTTCCCAGACCATGTAATCTGATGAAAACTGCTATTTGTAACCATAAGTAACCATATTCAAGGTTTAAAGTCTGAGTAGGGACATCTAAAAGGTACCTTGATCATCGTGAGGCCCTGTATCAAGGTCAAGCTTTCATTCATTCTAAGATAGGCACTAAGTAAGTTATATGATTTTGTGTGAACATATCCATCTACAGCCAAGTCACTAACAGCTCTATTGCTCCATTTTTTTCTTTGGTCCATGAACACATCAAACTTCTCAAAGCCAGTCATGGTAGGGGTCACCAGAGAGCAGTCACTTGACATGAGAGCAGCAGCACAATGGAACAGTTGGGGAGTCTCAGTCAAACTAAACTGGAGGAGGCTGTCCTCGGGTCTGTTTAGTGTATATCCAGAGTGACTTTTCCTCCATATAGGGCAAAACTGGCAATGAACAGGATATATTCTTTCCAATCCCTAATAAAAGATTATTCATTCCATCATAAAGTTGGGTTGAAATATACAGCATGTGTTCAGTGAAGAACAGCAACTCATGGAAGGCTATGGAATCAAGATACAATACTGATAGAATACTTTTGTGCATGCCTTTGTTCTCAGCTAAGAGTTGAGAGAAAATAATTAGGAGTAAACTGTGCCGAAGATCGTGAAAATGCAACATTTGGAAAATGACACTCATACTTACCCAGTCCATCAATGGCATGTATGAGCTCATGTCCCATGATCATTCCAATTCCACCATAATTTACAGCCTGTGGATAATCTGGGGAATAGAAAGGAGGCTGCAAGATTCCAGCAGGAAACACCATCTGATTCCAACCTGGGGCATAATACCCATTCACTGTGGGTGGAGGTATCAGCCACCTGTCAAAAAAATAACATGTGTGAATGCCACAACAAAGAATCAAGAATTAGAAGAGAAAAATCAGACAGAAAACAAGGGTCTCACTGCCTGCGATCCACGCGTTTCTTGAGGTTGTCAAGGTTCTTTCGAAAACCCCATTGGAACATGAAAATGCTATTTTTGAAATAGGCATCTGGCTTCATGTTCACACCATCATACTTTCTATTCATCCTCACTGAGTCCAAGATGTATTCAGGATGACCTGAAAGATCACAGTAATGTTATTCTCCATTCTTTATCAAAACATTCTACACCATTCCACTCACCAATCATGTCTATGACAGCGCTGATTTTCTCAAGGGCTGCAAGCTGAGTCCACAAGTCCATCCAGCTCAAGTTTGCCAGATTTTTCTTGAATGCTTCCTTGACCTCACTTAACATCTCCTGGGCCTGAAAAGAAATAAGGAATGAACCCTTCCCCCCTCATCCAAAAGAAACATGACAGGCACTGAAGTTTTATTGAATTATATTCAATGAGATAACATTCTCCACCTCATATAATTATTGCTGAAGAAACCAATTCATTAATATTTCCCCACTGAACGATATTGAATACGCTTCTACAAGCCTTTGATATGGGTCATTCCACATCACAACAGTGTTAATAGGCAACTTTCTCTGATTTTAATGAAATTTGGCAGGCTTATTTATACCTATTAGAAATTGACTCACATTGGGTTCATTACACTTATTGTTCCTCAGATATGAGGTCGTGAAAATTCAAGTCACAATGCCTTCTTGCCCCACTATGATAGTCTTCCCCTCATAACTTCTGTTCTATTTGGGTTAGAGACCTCTTCTTGGGCTCATTCGAAAGCTCTTTTCAAGTCCTTTTAATATATGTGACTGGGAATTGAATAAGTGCTAAAAGTAAACTTTTAATGAGGTGGTCATCATAATGACCTTTGACATCGTATTACCAAAAACTATTTTATATTTTGAAAGATATTGAATGGCTTGCAGGGAAGATATGTATGTTGCATTATGGTTAAAATTTTACCTTGGGCTCTCCAGAAGTTCTTGAGATAACTACAAAAGCAAGTACCATTAATTGCAACTAACATAACTGTATCCAGCAATATCATTAGAGTTGATCTTTAAAGATCTAAATGAGCTTTAAAGCTCATCTAGATCTTTGGCATTTAATGGACTGCATGGAACTAAAAGCAAAGAAAAACCAAAACAACAGACATATAGAACCAAGTCCAAAGAGCATCTTGAAGATAATTTCTCTGTACTGGTTGTTCATATGAAGACATACCAATGCATGCATCATCTCTAAATTGGACAGTTTGTATATATGTCCTGTTTCTGTAAAGGTTAATAAGTGAAAGGACCTGACTATGGTACTCTTGGCTCATCAGATTTGTGAGGATAAGATGTCGAAGGAGCTGGACTCTGTAAATTAAGGAATGAACCAGAATTTTCTGATTATCTTTAAATTTCTCAAGAACATATGCACAGTACCAACGTCCACCACTTTTACACGTCACAAACCTTCTGATGCTGGAACATAAGATCTCCACTGAAGTGCTGTTTTCTCCACCTGACTCCTTCAAATAAGCAAATGCTTTTCTACAAGAGTGAAGGTGTCTACACTTTTTAGTGTCCTATGGCTACAGAAGTCCAGTAAATTCAGATATTCTCCAATGGAACATATGCTTTCAGGAATCATATATTTCTAAACAATTTTGATTAGCCTTTCAAATATACAGCTAAGTAGCCAATGTCTAGTCTTTCACACAATAAACATTAAAAAAAAAACAGAATTAAGTTTAATGTGGATAATAAAAAACTATTATTTTTTTAAATATGAATAGCTGCATAATTATTTTTTGTTTCACTCAGCCACATTTATCAGCTATCATCTTGACCAACTTCACATATCTGTTGAAGACATGCTACAAAGACAACTGATTCACATTCACATTATATTTCAGCATATTCAAACATTATAACTGAAAACCTCTTATATAGGTGCAATGCTATATGCACAGTGCTGGTATGCATGAAATAGAACCAAATTTAAATAACTCATTTTTACATGGAATTTAATGAAAACAATATCAACACAGTTAAACACATTCCTATAGGTCCCAATCATGAAGTGGAATATATTCTGTTGAATTGATTTCATGCTAACAGCTCTAAGCCACTCACCTGCCCCTTGTATTAGGCGAGGAAGTGGCTTGGTTGATAATGTGCTTGCCTCCCATTGCAGAGTACCAGGTTCAAACCCAAACTAGTCCTGTATTTATTTCCAAGTGCAAGCCCCAGCATGCTTGGAAAGGGAGATCCCTAAGCACTTGGCATTCTCTTCATTAACAATCCCCCAATGGTGAAGGCCAAAACTCAGGTAGTGAATTCCCAGAATACGTGCGTGGGCCAAATTGCGTCTCCCAACGCAACTCGTGTTTGCTGATGTTACAGGGGAAGGTTTAGATGGGAGGATGGGTTAGCTGGTGTTCCAGAGTTAAGGTGCAGTCATGGGCCCTGAGCCTCTTGCACCCTGTACCTCATCATATTGTAATCTTCTTAACTATCTAAAAAAAATTAGAAAGTGCCCATGTTAAAACATTTTCCAGAGGTAGCCATATGGCTTATCTACTACTTACCCAACTCTTTTCAAAATCAAAGGGGTTGTTTTTGATAATGTGAAGTAAAAGGTCATCAACATGACCTTACTAAATGATAACTTTCAGTATTCAACAAAATGTATCAATGCCAATGGAAAGGGCTGGAAAAGAACTAAAAAATAAGGCTAAGATCAGCTCTCTAGCTTAATTAGAACAGAAGTTTAGAGGAGGAGACTCAATTGGGGTACAAGAATAAGGCATTTCAGCCTTAAATATTGTGACATACCAGAGAAACCAGGGGTCTAATGAACCCAATATTCAGTGTGGGTTAGTTTCTTACCATGGTTGATAGGTACATCAAATTTTATCAGTATCAGAAAGGGTCACCTGAAAAATGTCTTCCAAGTGTGTTGATCAGACATATAGAATGACCCATATGTAACAAAATATTTAAACAATTTGGTTATTTCACTTGCATTCACTTACTTAATAATTACATCATTTAAAAGGCAAAATATTATTTCCATTAAAAGTTATTTCAGTTAATCTTTTAAATGCACAATTTACTTAAAATAAATGAGGACAGAAACTCAAGAACACCATGAACTGACACCAAAAACTAACCTGGGCTTTGGCAGACCCATTGAAATGAGTCCTCACAAACAGTGCACCCATGGCATCCCCAAACAACTTGGTGGTGCCAGAGATGCAATCCTGCCACCTCGCCGTCTCCCCCTCCCCTCCCACGAGGGCCCGCTGGAAGTCTCGAGCCGCATTTCGAAACGGCTGCGACAGCAGGGGGATCAGCCGCATCACGGCGTGCCACATCATATAGTTTCCCAGCTGACTGAAACAATTTCACTCATCCATTCATCTTTGATACTTTTCAGGTATTCTCAAACAGGACCATTTCAGTAAAATCATTTTTCGTGGTGGTTCTCTATCGCACAACATACAACTACGTTGCAAACCATAGCAATTAAATACCAATAATCAGATATTAAAAATATATTTTCCTTGGCTCACAATTCTTCAATAGATGATGAAAATGATAGACTTCATAATGTACCTTTTGCCACCAGAAGTTTCATCCCGTGTACCCAAGTGATGGAAATCTGGCAAAAACATAGTAAAGCAATAAAAATGATGACTCTCGCCATGCAATAACCCAGACCTTGCATTCACTCAGTTTGTCACATTTCTTTTAGACTCTTCAAGATTTCCATGGAATATGGAATATATTATACTACCAGTAAAAATAAAAACTAGAAATGTATGAAGCTGCACAGAGGACTAGAACTGCTGCAGGAAATGGGAATGAATTCTTTGAAGAATCCTGTTTCTGTAAATGACACGCACATTTTAACCTGAATTGCCATAACAGGGAAAATTTTAAAAAATGTATGAGAATGAGATTTCATTGAAGCTTTCTTCTTGCAGAATATGTGAACAAAATCACATTGAAAAATAACTTTGATGGAAATTAATAATGCACTAGTCCTCATTGGATCTCATTTTCCAATAATTTAAATGGTATTCATGAAAAGAATTTCTTGAAAGAATAGGTAATACAAGAGTCAGATTATTAGGAGCAATTTTGCAAATTATCTCATGATATCAAGACTTTAATTATTCCTATCTCTCTTACTTATGTGAGTGTAATACATAACTTGTGACAATAAATTATAAAAGCAATTGTAGTTAGATATTGTAGCAATAGAAAATTACCTTCCTATCCCTGGTAATTAATTCTCATATTCTGCCTATAATAATGAATCCTAAACTTTAAAACAAGAAATTTGGCATCAATATCTGATACATATCCATCCAAAGAATAAGTTCCAGTTCCTGGTACCATACCTAAAAATAACCCCACAAGAGGGGGCAAATTGTGAGTATTGCATAATATGCTGTCCCTGACAAATACATCATGCATGTATATTGAATCCAATAAACAAGGTATCATGCAACCAGTGTCATGTGCATTTAAATCAATTAATGTGTTAATCTGACAAATTAAGTAAAATATGAGCTTAATATATAATTACTGCAAAGGCAGCCTTAAATTAGGTTCAGAAGGTGGACTCTCCAACAAGAAAACCAAAAATGAAAGCCTAACAAAGGAATGAAATCTTCCCACATCAACCAGGGAAAGGACAGTACTTTAATGCACAAGGGCTGGTATAAATGTGAATGTATTCTCACATGAGGGCTAGTTTCGTAACACCCACCTGTTTTAGCACAATTGCATGAAAATGGTAACACCATTTCAGAAGCTAACTGGCAAAGACAGGTCATGTTTGGAAGCAATCTCAGATGCAAGGAAGGACTAACCTGCCCTCAGGATGCGAGGCAGAACTCATAAAGCAGGCGGGCATCAGCCAGACACTAATGCTACTTGAGCTTCCTGTGCATGCAAGGCAATTCACTCAATTCTAAAACCACATCCATGCCAAATTTAATCACAAATTGTCATGGCCTCTCAACTTTTCATATGAAGCAGCAAAGGTCATATTTGCATCAATCAATGAGTATTTCTAAATGAAATTCTTCTTGCTGCCAGCACAAAATTTAGCAATATGTAGCACTCAAATCATGGTACCAAAGTAATTCTTTTAGTATACCACTAACATAGGGCAAGCATCCTCCTTTCACTTAAATGAAGGGTGAGGGGGAAAAAAACCTTCGGATGCATGAAAAAAGCCACACTCACATCAAGAAAATGGAATCGGCAGGCAGCAGGCACGAACAGTCCATCAATCAGAACTGTCACCCAGTCACTGGATGATGGAACCTCACATTTTCCCCTCATCTGAGGCCAGTTGAACCTTCACTAACTCTGTAAGCCGGGTGAGATACTCCAAGGCACGAATCAGGATGGGCTCCTCCTCGTCGATGCTCCGGTTCACCAGGCCGAACGCGTCGTTCACGTACGCCTTCCAGTCCAGCTGTTGTCAACACTTGTTCACAATCAAAGGAACAACTGGCTCATGTGCATATTGACTCCCCCAAAGAACTCACAAATGGGGCATGTTGCTGAAGCTCTCTCATGGGCATCTTCTTATACTGTTTAATTTCACTCCATCTCTGATCCATGGGTGTTGTGATGTGGGCCAACACTATCTCAAATTCTATGACCTTTCTCATCTGATTCCGTATCGACAGATGGAGTTCTTCCGATGGCTTTCCTTTATTTTTGCCTTGTAGAAGCAGCCCAATCTGCACCAAAAGAAACAGTAAATGTTATCACATCCTGAAGAGACTGACCTGAGACAAAGTTGAACAAAACCATTTTTGAATCAGAGGCCACATTAGAAGTATTGAGCCCAAGGGGCCAGTTGTATTTAGGTCAGTCATTTAAAGTCATTAGTACAGAACACATCAAGAAGAATGTACCATAGCATTATTTGCTTGTAATATCGAGCAAGGAAAGGGCTTTGGGAATCACAAGCAAAGGTACAGGCCAGATTTTATGTCATCCAAGCTGCAGATTAACCACCATTGACCTAAAACTATTGTCCACTTTCATTCTTAATACTTACCCTCGTCATGACTTCCAGTGCGCTCGAGAGAACAGGATCACCCTCAATGTCCTTACCCAAGTAATACTTCAGTGATGGCAGACTCAGCCCACTCTGATCAATCTATATTAGACATCGATCCATCACAATTTTCTAATCACTATCTAATGTGTCCTATTTCCACAGAGAACAAATGGGACTGACCTGAATGACATACTGGGTCGCGATCCGATCGTCGGCTGCGATCCGGAAACTGAAGAGGGTGCCTACGTTTAATCGATTGTTCAAATTCTGAACAGTCTTCTGAAAGTCCCACCTTGAGGCCTGAAAATTCTCTGATGATACATTCCATCCTCCAAATCCCTCAATCAGTTCCAAGAGGGGAGTTGCACCAAGCTCTTCAATCTTTTCATCTTGATCCATGCAGGAGACATAGTAGCGTAAAGCCAGCGTCTCGGCCAGAGTTCCCTCGGGACCTTGTCTTTTGCTCATCAGATCATCTGCAAGAATAGAACTTCCACAAGAATGCACTCCTTCAACCAATCGACAACCACGACGAATTCACATTTCTATGCATACGAAGAGCATTTCGTAAGACAATCTGGTTTTCCTCGTTCAACTTTGCCACTGTATTCCAGATGCTCCTGCCAGGGGGTAATGGATTTTTCTTCACCCAGCAGCCACAGGCAAAGTGGTAGAAGTCTTCACAGGGATTCATCGCGAGATCCATCGCCGCAGCGATCGATGACGACGTCTCGATGCAAGTCGGCTCTGATGAAAGCGTCCAGAACCCATAATTGCACTTCTAAAATTGCACAGATCTTTAGCAGCTTCTGAAAAGTCCAATTAGTGACCCACCTTTACGATTTGTATGCATCGAAAAGACATCGTACTCGCCCGTCACCCGGCTCCTATGCCTCATCCTGACCAGGAAGAAGGCGGTCGTGGAGAAGACGAGAATGGCGGCCATGATTGCGCAGAAACAGGTGGCTCTCTTCAAGACCCTTCTTGATCTTGGTCTCTGGCTTTCCTGCAGGTAAAACATTAAACTTGGCTTCACATGATGCGAGCAAGTCATTGGCCTTGCAAGAGTATCAACAAATTGGTTGAAGCAATTTACAAAGAAAACAAACAAATGCCACACTGAGACACAGATGAATCCAACATGCACAAATTCACACAGCATCAAAAAATACTATAAGGGCTAACTTACTGGGTAAAATATGAAGAGCTGTGGCTGAAAAGTGATTCCATCAGAAGCGGCAGAGCCCACATTGCCTCTGTCTGCAGCAAAATCGACCAGCTCATATTGAGCTGGCTGAAAATAAAAAGGAGACAGAATTCCCACATGAGATAAAATGGGGACCTCCTATATTCACAAGGTCAAAAATCATCACGAACAAAACCAATCAGTTGGACAATGTTCATCAAAGAAGTAGGCCTAGCACTGAAAACCTTCAACTATCACCACCAGGAGATAAGCCACCTATGTTTCAAGTTTTCCAACGAAACTCTGAAATGGATATGAAAGAATTTTTACCTCACTCATGATTGCTGAAGCCTCTCACAAGCCAAGATCACTCCAGTGCCACCCTCGCAAGCATTGCTGCGATCACCACACAGCCTGGGCAAAAGCATGGAAAGTGGGGACTGAAAAACCAGCCATGAAGACAGAGTAACGGAAACTTTTCGACCCATAAGTGCGTGTTGTACGTTGAATCCTTCCCACTAATATCTTAAATCCAGAGAAATATGAAGTAATAGATGAATAACATTCAAAATACACTTAAGAAGTTCCTCAAGAGTCTCAATAGAAAACACTGACTTCATTTTAATGGCTCATGTAGCATCTCAGGCACTGTCAGAATATTCAAGAGCCGCCTGCTGATATTACTATTACCATCTTGTTAGACTGATTTTTAATCCTGTCATGACCTTCAAAATTGTTTCACGATCATCAATAGTATCTCATGTGGAGGTAAATAGGAGCTTTTCTGCGAATTAATAAGATAGAAGAAAGTCTTTAGCAAACTGCTCTTCACATCCTGCAGGAAACGTTTCCTGCACAAATTTAAATCGGTGGAAAGAGACTTCTCGTTCCACGAGGACAAAGTCGTTTCCTGCCCCAACTTCAGCAACGTTCTAACGAACCACGATCTGGTCTCGAATACCGCTGCAGAATTACACACTTCCGCTGATAAACGCGCCATCGAGGTTCGAGCGCCACGCGGTCTCGAAGCGCAGGTGGCCTAAGCCTACGAGAATCCTAGGCCTACCTCAAGATTAGGCCTATCCGCTCGCCTAACCGAAGGAAACCCGCGGTCGCACCTCGGCCAAGGCGATCGCCCATCGAAGAGTGACAGACGCTGCGGGAGACCAGCCCGACGAATTCAGATCAATGTGCCGCTCAGGCGCATTCGGACGCTAACGAGAAATCACCCGCCCCACGACAGACGTGAACCACATGGCCGAGTCGAATGACGTCATCGAGGATGAAGTTTCACCGGTTCGGTTCGGTTGAAACATCGACGAACGGAAAGAGCGAGGAATCCATCGGTTCGATTGGCACCAATGGAACCAATGCCGTCGGTGAACTGTACTTATCAGGCGCTTGAACGAACAAAATTCGCACTTTGATTCGCAATACCCTTAGCTCGGCCGATGAAGAAGACCAAAGCGATGCTGCCTTCACCTCCAAAAAATCCCGTCACTATAAATACATCAATCAGCATTTTATTGATTTCAATGCCGAGTCAGAACCAAGACCTGCATCCGACTGAACTCCCTCGGAGACAGAGGCAGAAGCCCTCCCTGCCTCCGTTTCAACAGGCGCGGCCGCGCCGACAACGCCGTCATCCCCCTCACCAGAGACATCTAGCGAGCCCGATCGAATCTCCCGAGTTCACGCCCTCCCTTCAGTGCCTCGCGAGACTCGGCGGAGGAAAGACGCTGCCACTGCAAACAGCAAGTAGAGAAATTGCACTTTCGGGGAGCAATAGCCGTCCGACCCTCCATTAATTCCACTTATTTCCTGTGGAGCGAATCAATTCCAAATGCCTGTCGGCCCACTGTGAGTCGCAGAATTCCCTTCTACTTGCTCATTAGCCTCAGGTTCCTCTCTCGACGAGACGTGAGGCGTCTTAGGCCTTCAATATTTTACTCGTCCACGCGAGCAGTCCTTAGCATCAAGTTTCTAAGTTTCTCCAAATTTGCAGGCATGGGATGTCGTACATATTCCTAATCCCTAAAGGCACGAAAGAATGAAAGCACTACTTCCAAAAACGAAGAATTAAATCGCTTTAATAGCATACATTTGCACCACTCTCGTGAGGTCCCGCCCTAGCCTATCTCGACGCCCTGTGCAAAGAGACCCCCCCTCCCCCCCCGCCCCCCCCCCCCTGCCCCCCGCCCCCCGCCCCTCGCCCCTGCCCCCTTTCCCGGAGGGGGAGGGGTCAATTCCTAGCGTCCACAGTGATGCTGAAACGGAAGGTATTTCTACATTCTGTGGTTAAATTGAGGATGGCATCCATTATTGCTAAATAAACAAGTAAAATGCATTTGAAAAAAGAAACTCGTTTATTAAACTCTCTTGCATAACACTCTGGATTGCACACGTCGAGAGATGATTAAAATGTTTAAAATATATATTTAAAAAATAAGAAAGAAAAAAACAGGAAAAGTTTTTTCTTTCTTCACGGAAATAATTCTCCCTTGTCCATATTCATTCTGACGAGGGCGAGGTCCAAAGGGCAACCGAGTCCGTTTGGCCCCTCGAGGCCGGCCTTGGCGACTTCTGTTAATTCTATGGACCTGCGAATCCGAGGAGGAAATCGCACGATTCCTCCCACAACTCCAAATCGGCGATATTCCCAGCTTTTTTTCGGAGCGTTTCACATCCGAAATGGTCACGGGGTTTCGTGAAATGTGAATCACTTGATATATTGTAATAATTTCACTTCGTATGAGGAGACGGTATCCCTCAAGGATTCGCTAGGTGTCGCTCTTGTTCCTCGTAGGCTTGTCGAAAGGTCGGTGCTAATACGTATCTCTGATATCGGTTTCATTTTACCCCATCGCCAACCATCACCGCCTCCGTGGAGCATCACTGCCTCCATGGAGCATCACTGCCTCCATGGAGCATCACTGCCTCCGTGGAGCATCACTGCCTCCGTGGAGCATCACTGCCTCCGTGGAGCATCACTGCCTGCTTCGTCGATGAAGCTCCGGCATTCCACGTTCCATTTCGATTTCCTTTTTCATCGATGAATTCCTTTCGTCAATGTTGAGGTATAACCTCTCCTCCCCAGTTTCCTCTGATCCAGCAAAAGTGATTTAACGACGAACGATGAAGCGATACCGGGCAGCACAAACGTCATGACCATAGGCGGTCCAGTCGTTACACTGGCGGATTCCTAACGGCATTATGGCGACTCAGCCAGCGTGCCGAATCCTCAAGGATATTGCGCCTGTGTTAGATTCTTCCCCTTCCCCCGGCCCTCCCCCCCTCCCCGGATGGCGGCAAGTAGAACATGCTGGAGATGGCCCGGTGCCTTAGTGGAGGTGGAGGGCCATCAGCTCCCTTCCCATCATGTAGTTGGCTGTCCCCCATAAGCTACACGGTATGGTGCTATTCCAGTGCCAATAATTCCCACTAGATGGTAGCCTTGTTCGCCCGCAGTCTATGTATGCATTTAAGGACGTGCCTTGCTAATTTATCGAAAGTGTTTCCTTTCCCTTTCCTCTCCTCTTTATATAATTCAAGAGCAGATTGTGACGTTACAAGCGATCAATATTAATTGGTCACCTGTCCCGCTCCAGATTCGAGGGTTAAGGCAGGTTCGCCAGACACAAATTCTGGAGAAATGGAAACCCTCGTGATCTTTCCAAGTAAATTACTTAACTTTATTAAAATAAAGACAATAATGAAATATCAAAAAAAAGGAAAACACAGTTCTTCACAGTACTTGTTAAAGAATAAAAGGTGGGGAAAATATTAGAGTAGAAAAGGATGAGATTCCTGGAACTCTCTTTTTAACACCTCAGGAGGAGTAAACAGTATATTTCCTCCTTCTCTTCTTTTGTAAAAGGGCGGAAGACCCCGTTCTTCACAAGATGATAGGAAAACGTAGAATCATTATTTTCTGATTACTATGTATTTTTTAGGAAAACTTTTACAGTCGAACTCGGTTATAACGACGAAAGCGCCAGGTCCCGGCGTAGAGCCCATGAGGCACGTTACATTTTACCTCGGTTATAACGAAACCTCGGTCTAATCCGTCATTCTTAACTGAAGTTTCCGTCATCGGAAAAGTTAGCGTTGGTGAGCCAACTTTATATTTCCTGGATTCGGCGTTCCTCGAGAGTCATATGAGTGCGGCTGGAGCAATGTTAGGGAGGGATAATCCCCAGTAACTAAGATCACCTCATCTTCAGTCGCCATTTGCATTTCTCGTTGACGAAATGGCCAATGGAAAACGAAAGAGGCAAGCCTTCACGATTGAAAGGAAAGTGTGCTCGATTAGTTTAATAGAAAGAGCTCGAAGTGAAGCTAACGTCGCTCGCGAACATGGACATCTGTTCGTCTGTTTCCACAATTTCGCGAACATCACGATTAGTGGGTCAATCTTGAAACCGAAGCTAGTGCAATATGACCAATGTAAACTGGAGTTGTAACGTTAAATGGCATCGATTTTGAAAATGGGAAAACGGAGTGCCAATAAAGGCAACCTTAGTTATAACGAACCTCGGTTATGAGGACGGTTTTTACCTGGTCCCTTCGATGACGTCATAACCGAGTTCGCCTGTATTTATTATTATTATTTGTTGAAGTTAGGTATGGAAATAAATAAAAATGAATGGGCATAGGGAAGTGCATCGTGTTCCATCCTTGAAGTCACCGGCCCACGTATTATACTTAATAGTTCTGTGCGTCATCGCTAGCAAATGAAAGTTAAAATCAACTTTCTCCTGGAGGCATCAGTCGTGGAGAAGTTGGCGTTTCCCGAATGCAAAAAGATGTTGCCAGAGAAAGCGTTCAGTACTTCCATTCACTCCCCGAGTACCTTGTGATATTCGGGGAAAGGAAGAGCAGGCCACGTAAAGTACAGCATCGCAGTTATTTCTCCTCAGCACTCAGCAAGGACACCAGCTCCCTTCCCAGCTGGTGGTTCCAACTCCCACTTGCTTCTTGGGATTTCATGAAGATGCTGTTCCGGCGGTCTTCGACGATCGGCACGATGGGATTTAGAATATCCTGAAGTGATTTCATTATTATTTATTTTAATTATGGTAATGGAGTTGACGGCTGCTTCGGCCTTCTGCTCCTTCTGCGACGTCGTCGCGGTCTTCAAAAATGAAAACTCTTCAGGTCGATCGAGAGGCGGATTTTTCGCGAACACCCGCGAACGTCGCGATCGAACCAGGCATCACCAAATCCTGCACTTCTCTTCGGGGTTCATGCGCGACCCCCGCGGGCAACCGAAGGCCCGACCGAAGTCCTCGCTGTTGCGAAGCGCGCCGGCGACGCGGAACGCGCCCGGCGAATGGACGTCGTTCGCCGCTTGGAACTCCAGCGCCTCTTTCGTCTCCACCGAACACCAAACCTGAAAAAAAAAATTGGCAGAGCCGAGCGAGAGTCACAAACGAGTTTGAATTGGGTGGATGAAGATTGTGTGAAAATTGATGAACGATTCAGTAATATATGTTTGATAGTAAATAGTTAAGCAGTAAATTAATAATTGAATAATAAATAAATGGTTGAGTAATTAAGAAACAGCTGAATAAGATTTAACTGATTGTTTAAGAATTTGATGGTTATTTAGGAATTAGGCAAATAATTAATTAAGAAATGGTTGACAAATAAATCGTTCGATAATAAATAGTTAAACCATAAATGAACGGTTAAACAATAAACGACAGTTCCAATTTCATATTGACGATCGCGAGTGTCTGGCGCTAATTCGTACTATTTAAGCTAAAACTAAAAGCTAAAATGTGGTATATACGTATTAATATATATCGGAAGCAAAAAAAAAAACGAAATCCTACTTTGGGGGTACATCATTGGTAGTCCTAAACGACCGGCATTTTGCTAGCCATCTGACAGAATCTCGCATCGAGATTAATGAATTTAAAAAAAAAGAAGACGAAAGATGCGGGAAAACCTGAGCGAAGCCGATGAAGAAGAGCTGCTGCGAGGTGAAATTGAATGCGGGAAAAGGGAAAAGTGGGAAATCGGGCTGCCCGGAGACGAACGCCTGGTACGCCACCTTCAGGCCGCCGTTGTCCGCCAGGTTCTCGCCTGTCGAGAGCATCGCCTCGATTGTTATATTACACTGGCCTCCAAGAGTGAGTCAGTTTTTCGGGTTTTCGTGTTTCACCCAAAATATCTCTTTCAATATTCAACCAAATCAATTGGAATTCGTGTCAGTTGTAGTCCTATTGTATAGCTTTAATTTAAAAAAGAATCATGGAAATCAATGATTTATTGACAAAAATATCTCCATCCAAAGTCAAAGTGGGATGAGTCAAAATTTTGGCGAATTTCAATGATTCCACAAACTAAAATTTTGTGTAGCCACCCTTCGCCTTTCTGACGGCTTCAAGACGTTTGGGCATCGATCTCACCAGACAAAGGCATGTTTCACGGTCAATGGAATTCCAGATGTCTTGAACTTGGTCCCAAAGTTGATCGGTATTTCCAGCAGGAGGCAAGTTTCTGAGCAATCGATCTCACCAGACAAAGGCATGTTTCACGGTGAATGGAATTCCAGATGTCTTGAACTTGGTCCCAAAGTCGATCGGTATTTCCAGCAGGAGGCAAGTTTCTGAGCTTGCGCTTGATGTGATCCCACAAATGCTCGATAGGATCGATGTCCGGAGATTGCGCTGGCCATGTCATCACCTTGATTTTGTTTTTTTTTTCTGGAACCATTCTTTTACACGAGATGCAGTGTGGCAGGAGGCGTCGTCTTTTTGGAAGACAATCTCGTCTTTTCTGAGGCCGTACCAACATATTGACATATTGTTTCCATGAGCTCATCTTCCAGAATGTGGGCGTGCATGTCACCATCGATGCGACAGAGATATCCCACGCCACAGGAGAGCATGCAGCCCCACACCATGATCGAGCCGCCACCAAACTTTCTTGTCGGCATGACCTGGTGATCCCGGGGAGTGGTTCGCCATCTTTTCGAAAGGTTCTTTCTCTGCCATCCGATGCAGAAAGGCATATTTTTGTTTCATCAGACCAGATGACCTCGTCCCAGTCGGTTTCTGTCCGTGAGCGATGGGCTCGTTCAAACGCATTCCGATGAGATCTCAGCAGTTGTGGGCCCTTTTGCTTGTGTCGCGACTTGATTTGGTTTCGTCTCAAAATGCGCAGGATCGTGTTGGCAGAGACGGCTATTCCTGCATAGATCTTGAGCTATGGTGGTGGCGGTGGAACGCTTTCCTGTAGTGGCCAGTCTGCAGATGTACTTTTCGTCCTGCTTGTCCAGGACACGAGGACGGCCTCTTCAAGCAAAATCGGTACGATGTTTCTTGATGTATCGAGCTGCAGTTGACTGAGAAATCGAAAGAATTTCGCCAATTTGTCGGCTTGATTTGTGCCGAGACGCAAGCTCCTTGATGCGTTCTTCAATACGCTTGGACATGGTTTTCACCATCGTAATGCAGGTAGAGAGAGAAAAATGATGAAAGGAGAAATGAGATGGAGTAGGACTGGGCCGAGATTGCTGCTTTGATATGACTTTTTCGCAAACACCAATAATCGCCAAAATATTCACTCACCCCCCGGCGACTATGAAGACATGCATATTGGCCGCGAACTAATCGATCGTGGTGAATTTTTGGAATTTTATGTAAAAGAGGTTGCATAATAACATATTAAAATTTTGTGAGATTCGAGTGAATATTGCCAGAGATATTCGACTTTGAATAGAAATTTACGGAACATTGACTCATTTTTGGAGGCCAGTGTATTATGCAAATTTTGAGAGAGAGAGAGAGAAACGGACCGAGCGTGTTGACCCCGTCGAGGCTTTCCCCGTTCACTTGGAACCCCGCGTATTGCCGGGAGAAGCACTGCGCCCGCTCCGCGAAGCGCCGGATCGCGTGGTCGCTCCACCACGCGTTCATGTTGCCGTCTTTGTCGTACTCTCGTCCTGGAACGACCGGGAAGGGGAGGATGAACCGTGGTCGTTCGTTTCATCCAATTTCCATTTCAAGGGAAAAACTGAAATGGGAAACACCCCGTGTGGTAAAGAGTTATTTGAGGCATGTCGGATCTCGCTTTAGTAGAGGTTTTTCCTAAGCAAACGAATGGAGACGATCTTCATGGTTCGTATGACAGCAGCAGAAAATAATATAATAACTAAAGTAATCGCTTCACCCATGCCATCGACGACATGCGTGAGCTCATGCCCCATGATCGTGCCGATCCCGCCGTAATTGAGCGCCCGGTGCGCCGCCGGCGAGAACAACGGCGGCTGCAAGACCCCAGCCGGAAAAACCATCTGATTCCAAGCCGGAGCGTAATACCCGTTCACCGCGGGCGGCGGAATCAACCACCTGCGAGAAAAAAAAAACTCATACGGTAAATGAGAAAAAAAAAAACCGTGCAACGAGAATTCCCACTGCGAACGATCCGATTTTTTCCCCAGGAAATCGAGCGACAGCGACAGCGCCCGTCCGGTCATGCGGACGGCGTTCCCGAAGTAATCGTCTCTTGCGATGGTCACGCCCTCGTACGATTTTTCCAGCTTCTCCGGGTCCAAGATGGAGTCGGGATGACCTAAGGGAGTTTCGTGGTGTCGGTCACGGGTGGCGCCGTCATGCGTAACGTTATGCGTATTTTCGCCGACCGATCATGTGCGCCGTGGCGTCGGTCTTGATGACGGTGTCTTCGCGAGTCTCGTCGTCCATCCAGGGCACGTCGGGCAAATTTTTCTGGAAAGCGTTCTTGATCTCCTTCATCATCTCTTGGGCCTGCAGGTAATTCGGTAATCGGTAATAAGTGATTGATAATTGCAACATTTTTACTTTTTTTTTTTAAGCGATACGGTCATCCCCAATAGAATAACAATTGCTGAAACGGAACGTCAGCGATTTGCTTGTTTTCATGAAGTTAAAGAGTTCCCGTTCCGCGTAAATATGGGTCCTTGATGACCGTTTGAAGAACATGACGTCGTCCCATAGAAATTGTTTGTTTTTTTTTTCCGCAAGCTTTCACTGTGAATATTCATCCTGCGCCCTAGAAGCACTGAACATTTTCAATATAAGCCACCGAAAGTTTGCGCATCAAATATCCGCAAGATTGCTTAACTCCTCAGCGGCGCTTCTTTCAGGCGATGAACGCGTGCAAGCGACGTCGAGCCGTCTCCGTGACGTCGAGCCGTCTCCGTGACGTCGAGCCGTCTCCGTGACGTCGAGCCGTCTCCGTGCTACGTATCGATTTCTTTGAGAGGATTGAGGCGGACAAACTATATTCTATGTATTCTCATGGTTTTGCGGAATGGAATGCAGTGAAATGCATGTTGGACCCTTACGAACAGCCGAAGTTAAAGTAAATTAACCTGGATTTCAGTAAATTAATGTAATGCAGAATTTTAATCATTGGGCACGGAAAATTAATTTTGCTAATTAATGAAGGAAATGACTTCAATATGAAATTTATTAACATGGTTTTTACATCGGCAATTTGTGCATGTGTGGCCATAGATCGTCGTATCTGCGGTAGCTGTGGCGTTTCTGCGACTCTTCAGTGGACAGACTCTGGAAGGTCTTCCACATTTGGTCCACGCTTGGCGGACGTGGATGTTTCATGCACGAGTGCAATCCGCCTGAAGGTGAGTGAAAACCTTTTCAAATGCTTCGAAGCCCTGATGAGTGCCGTACGTGTCGTTTTGACCATAGGACATGCATACCGCAAAAATGAGCGTGATGATCCAATTTTGCCAAAGATGCACTTGAAAGTGCTTGGGAAATGTTGAAGTTCTCCATACCACAAGATGGACATGTGGATTTCGCTTTTCGCACAGTACTTGAAAGTACCCTTCCCTCCTTCCCTGGAATCGTCCCTCACAAGAGTGTTTATTACCTCACCAAATGTCTCGCCTAGTCTCGTAAGAATCGATGAACGCGGAAATGTCATCATTTGCTATCCCGATATTCGAGACAGATTTATGAAGCTCAGGCCATAAAAAAGCTCATATTCCCGATAAGAACCCTTTAAATGAATAGATCCATGAGGAACTTCGGAACAATGGTGATGTTCGCGTGTTCAGCCCATCGTTTCCTCGTCCTTGGGTCGTAATGAGGAAATTAGGGATTGAATTCGTGTGTACTCCATGTGACAGAGGGATGGATCTTTCTAAGAAACGTGCTGAAATTAGTACATTCAGGGGTTGATCAACCCCTGTATCATCTATGACTTTGCCTATCCATGATTCAGATTCATGGTTGGGCAGGTGGTTATGCTAGTATCAGCAGTACTAGTACTGTAGATAGAAATGTCTCTACCATTGTAGGTTGGGGGATGCCGCAGAAAAAGCGGACATATATGGAGCGGCACATTCATACACCACGTTCGTATCGTGCTTGCAGATGTAGATACGCAATCTTGGCTCTGCTTCTCCCTCATGTACCGTACATATAATAGAGTAGAATGTATAACTAGAGGCTCCACTCCGCTCGAATCCCATTCATTGACAGGGTCGTAATATAGATGTCACTGGCGATCCTCCACCTAGCGTACGCACATCAACAACTCCTCCATGGCCGAGAAGCGGACTCAACGAGATATGCGCGTTACGTTGACGGATCCCTTTTTGGTTGAATCCCCGAACGAGTCGATTCCCCATTCCGCTTCCACGAAGCACGCCTCATGGAAGTGTTGTTGATAAGAAACCACCAGATATCTCTGTAATATTTCGACCTCCCCCCCCCCCTAACCTTCGCTTCGGAGTGTCGCCTCCACCGGTAGTTATACTCTACTCTATGGAACATAAAAGCCACTCAAGGCCCACAGATATATTGGACTCAGTGCCACAGAAAACGCGGACATTAACGTTACGCCCTATGCATATGCCACCCGTGACCCATTCGTCCATGTGTGGCTCATGAGCGTGGGTCAAGCTTGGAACAGCTGACTCTGTGGAGATAAATACGCTCGGCCAGGGGATAAATTCCACTGAGACTCACCTGATTTTTGGCCGTCCCACTGAAGTGAGTGTTGACAAAAAGCGCACCCACGACATCCCCAAAGTTGTTGGTGGTGTCGGCGATGCAGTCCTCCCATCGGATCGAGTTCCCTTCCGCCCCGATGAGGGCCTTCCGGAGACCCCTAGCCGCGTCTCGGAACGACCGCGACAGGAAGGGCAGCATCTGCTTCACGGCGTGCCACGTCAAGTAGTTTCCCAGCTGACTATGGAGTAATCCCAAGTATACGGTGAACGGAGAAGTTCGTGGAGTAATTAAGAATCGCTTGGCAGAACCGTTCAATTTCTTTTGGATCAGGTTTTTCTGCACTCAAATTTTGCACGGGAATATAAATGAATTTCCTTCATTGCTTTTGCATGAAGGCTTCATCCTGAAGCTGCATGATAAAAGATATTTGCTGGGAATTAAAGAATGTCTCCATTGAAAGCAATAACGGACAAGTGATGCGTGCATGAGAGAACTGCCCGGCGGCCAGATGTCAAAGCATTCCGTATAAGTCGTTAATTTGGGTCATTCAAAGCTAGGTCAAGGACACGAATGATCTATACTCGAACGATGAGCATTTCAATGCAGGAGTGTTATCGTTCTGTCACGGTTCTGTATGTCCATCGCTCAACTACTCGTAGCATCGGAGAACATTTAGAGCGTAATTTTGTTGAAGTTCCTATATTGGATCAATAATATTGACGCAACCTCGGAATTCTAATCAAATTATCTCCAATGAGGCTCTGGAATGAAAGTATTGAAATGCATTAAAAAAAAAGTACAATTGGCATCGATCATCATTGTCTTCCAGTTATTAGATACTGGGATCTCACATTTTCCCCTCAACTGACGTCAGCCGTGGCTCCACCAGTTTTGATAGACGGGAGAGGTAGTCCATGGCAAGGACCAGGACTGGTTCTTCCTCTTCGATGCTCTTATTTATCCGGCCGAACGCCTCGTTCATGTACGCCTTCCAGTCCAGCTATTCCAAACGCGTTCATCAGGGCATTAAAATGCCGCTTGCATGTAGTAAATCTTCTTTAAAAAAAAGAATCTTACAAATGGAACGCGAATCTGGAGGTCGGAGAGAAGCATCTTGTGATACTGTTTCCGTTCGTTCCACCTCTGGCCAATGGGAGTTGTGATGTTGGCCAAGAGGACCTCGAACTCTATCACCTTTCTCATCTGACTTTGTATCGAAAGGCGCAGTTCTTCAGTAACGTCCTTCGTTTCCGTGCGAAGGAGCAATCCTATCTGCACCAAGAGAGTTGATCAGTTCTGTCACGCCTAGAAAAAGTTGGGTCTAGTTTAAGGAGTAGGTCATCTCTCCTCATTTTACATTTTTCCTTACCCTCGTCATGAACTCCAGCAGGACTGAAAGGACATTATCCTCCTCAATGCTCTTTTTTAAGTAGTAATCCCGTGATGGCAGACTCAGTCCTCCTTGATCAATCTGGAATCGTTAAAAAATATTAAAGCAATGTTTAAAGTATTTACAGATATTGTTCCATCGAGGCTTGCGAGTGGAAGAAAATAAATAGATTTTCTGGTCAGGGGATCTTTCCAAATGGACTTAAATAGAGATTCCTCTTCCTCCTTGCTCAGGTGCAAAGCAGAAGCCGGCGCGTAATTTTTCTCCCCAAGAAGAGCATTTTTTCCAGATTCTTCGCAAAGTTCAAGGACCAGATTATTGCAAATCACATATCCTCTACAAAAGTGAGACTGACCTTCAAAATGTACTTTGTTGCATTTCGATCATCGACCCCAATCCACCATTGGAAGAGTCCGCCCAAATTGAATCGATTGTGTATCGTCTGGACAGTTTTTTGGAAATCCCACGTGGAGGCATCGAAGTTCTCTGACGAAACGTTCCATCCCCCTAGTTCCTCGATCAGTTCCAAGACAGGAGCGGCACCGAGCTCCTCGATCTTCCCATCTTGGTCCATGCAGGAGGCATAATAGCGCAGAGCCTGCGACTCCGCCGAACTTCCCTCGAGACTCCCGCCTCGCTTCATCAAACCATCTACAAGCGCAGGGAGACGACAAGGATGACATTCCTTCCTCTGTCCCCGGCTGTTGGGACGCAAGCATACCGAGTGCATTCCGCAAGACGAGTTGGTTTTCCCGGCTCAACTTGGTCATAACGTTCCACATGCTCTCCCCAGCTGGTAATGGATTATTTCTCGCCCAGGACCCACAAGCAAAGCTGTAGAAGTCTTCACAGGGATCGACCGTGAGGTCCATATCAGCCACGATCGAAGAGGACAACCGGATTTCCGAACCCTCTGGTGAAAGGAAGCAAACTTGAATTCTTCTGAGCTTGAATCTCGGGAAAATTCAAAGGGCTACCTTCATGTTCCTCAGGTGTCTTCCCAACCAGTGACACGATGAGTATGATGCAGATGAGGGAACTCGATGCTAACAGGCAGAAGCAGAAGATTCTTCTGGAGACGGTCGTCCTTCTCGTTCTCCCGCTTCCCTAATTGTAACGAGCGGAAGTTGTCAGTGTATGATCTTTCAAGAGCATACACGTGGTGGAAACGTTGAAAAGCGATGCGGTATTTGCACGAATATGAAAGATGGCACGGTGAAACGACTGGCAGCGACGGTATTTTCTTTTTAAATAGCTGCATGGGGCTGAAGTGCTGCTTAATTAGTGGTCCCACAATTAATTTTAAAAAAGTCAAAGACCAGATTATTTTTTCGCCTCTGACAAATCAGCTAGCTCTTTTTGGGGTGGTTGCGGGAATGAAGGATGGAGGCATTTCTCACATGAGATCGAAAACTGAATATATTAATAATAAATACTGAATGTATTTGGCACTGAATCCTTTCCATGGATGATTACTGTCACCGAGGACCTGCCTTCGGAAACAAGGGAGAAACGGAAAAAAAATACATATTCAGGCTTTTCTTTCTACATCATATAATACATCATAAAATAATTATAGAATGAATTTGTCTAAGGTCACTTCTTAAAATCAAGGGAAACTCTCGACATCGTTAAATCCAACTTCATTTGGATTTCCTGGATTTTCATAAATCCCTTGTGGATGTCGCCCGACTGAAATGGGAGACGACTCTGTGTCGACCTGGAGACGGCTCGCAGTCGTTTAGCTTGTATTACAGGTTTTGGATGCAGCAATCGTCCTTGTTGAATCCGCACTATCGATTGGTCACAATTGAACGACTGCCTCACCTGCCTTACCTGAAAGTGAGCCTCATCAGCATATTCTGTGGGGAATCTCTGTTCCCAAGGTATCATTCAGCAATCGGGAAAAAATCAGCAATTAGCAGCGATGAAAGGGTAAAAAGTATTTCATGTATCGAAGCATCTGCTCCTATGTCCGCACTTTTTCAATAGTTAAACTCTGAAAGTATTTATTTGCATAAATTATAATGATAGTGAAATGCGTGAAAACGAGGCAAAGGCAACCCTCACCCATATCGAACATATACTATGCTGCACCTAACGACAACAAGACGCACGAACCAAGAAACAGAATTAGGAAACGTCTACCTCGCTCATGACTGCCACGACCGAGCACACGCCCCTCTCACCGCATCACCACGCCCGCAGGCATATCCTCGTCCCGGCCACGAGTGAACCAAGGGAAATCGGAAGCGAGGAAGGCAGGCGAGGCGGAGCAAGAATGCTTTCGATCCCCTGGCACGAAGCGAGCCCGACACATGGCTCTTTCTCAATGTAAACTAACGTTCATTGCCAGATGGCTTACTCATATCGCTGCGACCTCTACGTATTTTCATCGTGAAATGAACTCGAGCGGCGCCAGGCGAAGGAAACAACTTCATATCGCTGAAACGTGCTCCAGTGAATTCGCTTCGTGAATTCTCGACTCGAGTCCTCCCGCAGATTCCTTCGAAAGTTACGTAGATTCCTAATTATGCATGAACGTCTTCCGTGCATAGCGCCATCGAGAGGCCTCAAAATTGCAGGCTTTCAAGCTTTAGTTAACTCTTAGACGTTCCAGGCAACAGGTTTTCTTCGGAAAGATTAATCGATATTCACCTCTCCGGCCTCACCCGAAATAAGTACCTGCGACGCTGAATCGCTTCAGTTGAGTACCGCCGGCCGTACCACGTGTTGATTTCAATAGAAAACCTCATGCATTTGCACAAAAAATGGCATGCAAAAGGCTTAGGTAAATAATTTTGAATCTAATCTTTTTCATTTTATGTATACATAGTTCTACTACTTTCTGATAATTCAGTTTAATTATCTCCATTTTAATTATTCGAATTTGAATCATCAGTTAGAAATACTTAAGTTCCCATCATTATCTCAATTTAAAGTATTCATATAGCTATGGTTCAACTTACTCCTTAAATTTTGCCATTTTACACCCTGCGATTTCAAACTTGCAAAAAAAAAGGACAGATTTTGGGTCGTCATCGCTTAGGTGTCAATAGCGTTTGTTGGAATTAATTTAAAGAGCTGAATGAGGCGTCATTTTAAAAGTTTCTCCTCGCCCTTTTCAATGATTTGTGACTCATGGTGTTTCAAAAAAAACAATCGTCAAAGGTCAATAGTCAGACTTTTGACCGTGAATTTCAGTGAAAAGGTCAATATTAATATTGTCGAATAGCGTAACATTCTCCATTTACTTTATGGTTTTGCCGATTTTCAATTTGGGACTACCATGGGATCAGGAGTTATTAACAATAGAATAACAGCATGTCCATGGAAATTGCAGAATACGCTGCTGGGAAAAAAAAAATTGGAAAACTCATGAAGATGCGCGGTCTCGAGATCGTGAGATGGGTTAATTGCTAAATGCCAGATGAATTGGGGGAAAGAACGGTGCACGTATCAATTTCTTGCATCAGGCTGATGCATGCATCGACTTGATGCACTGCCTCGCAGGGAAACGCTCGAAGACGGCGTCATGGTGAAGTGGCTTGAGGGAAAGCGAAAAGAGCGAATGAATGAACGAATGAACGAGATAGAACTTCCTGCTTCTCGCAGAAAGGATCCAAAAAGAAAAAAAAAAAACAGGAGAGGAATTGCCGAGAGTGTCGAGGCTGGATCTGTCGTCTATCACGTCGCGATCCTTTAGCGACAGTCACTGCTTGTCTTCAGCGGGACATCATCGATGACGGAAAATGTGCAGACGCACGCTGCGTCTGCACATTTTCCCCCTCGCTTCAGCCAAGACGCAGCGACGAGGTCCTGCGAATTCGGAGAAGCCGAAATCGCTCAAGCCATTTCCGGATATGGCTTGAGCGATTTCGGCTTGCTTCATCGCTTTCGTCCGAGTTCTAATCGGCTGATTCCCTTTGGGATTCCTTTTCCGGGTTTTTGGGGATTTGGTTCTTCGTTTTCTGTTGGCCTTTGAGGATCATCTGATTCCACGGAAATTATCCTCGAGGAGCATGCTACTTTTAGACATTTCTAGCAAGATCTTGGAACTTCGGGATATCTCAAAAACTACCCAGAACATACTTGTTTCTTTCCTGAAACCTTCAAACACTGAGAAGTTCTGGAACCGAGAGAAAAATCACAAACGAAATCATTGGATCCCGAGAGGCTGCGAGAAAACGCGGAAGGTCAGTATTCCTTTGGACCGACTGATAATCCAATAGCTCGAATAATGCATCAGCGGAAATACTCATCGAATCGAGTCTCCCTGGGATTCTCGCTCTCTCCGAGTGATATTGGTGTCGGTCATTCCATCGTGTTGGGGGGGGGCGGAGCAGGAGAAGGTCACGGTCAGATCATTAAAAGCAATTCAGGAACCTCGCCATATCCCCGGAAGTTGCGATTGCTGCCAAACAAGGATTTATGCAATTTAGCCATAAGAAAAGGACTAAAGAGTCGAAAGGAAACCTAACATGTGCCAAAAAGAGCGCTTACCAAAGGGGAAAAGTGTCGTTTGAGAAGGTCCCGAAGAGGAGAGGATTCTACCAATGTCCAGTTCAATGCCATATAAAAAGCTGGAGGAAGGCACTGAAGGCAGCCAGTCAGCAATTAATCCCAGGGCCAAATGTGTTTATCTCCGCGAAGTCAGCTGTTCCAAGCTTGGCCCACGTTCGTGAGCCACACATGTACACATGGGTCACTGGCATATGCGTAGGGCGTAACGTAAATGTCCGCGTTTTCGGTGGCACCGAGTCTAGTACATCTGTGGGCCATATGTGGCTTATATGTACGGTACATTAGAGAGAAGCAGAGCCAAGACTGCATTCCTACATGTGCAAGTATAGTATGAACGTGGTGTATGAATGTGCCGCTCCATATATATGTCTGTTTTTTTCTGTGGCATCCCCTAACCTACAATGGTGGAGACATTTCTATCTACAGTACTAGTACTGCCGGTACTAGTCTCACCCCATGACCAAGCATGAGCCTGACCGATGGCTAGGCAAGAGGCATAGGGTAATACAGAAATTGATGAACCCCTGAAAGTACTTATTATAGCACGTTTCTTAGAAAGGTCCATCCCTCTGTCTTACAAGATTTCAATTCCTAATTTCCCCATTACGACCCCAGGACGAAGAAGCGATGGACTGAATACTCTGTTACTGTTCTAAAGCTCCTCATGAATAAAGATAACCTATTTAATTAAAAGGGTTCTCTTCGGGAATATGAGCTCGTTTATGGCCCGAGCTTCATGAATCTGTCTCGAATATGGGGATAACAAATGGTAAAATGTTCCGCGTATATCGATTCTTACAATGAGACGGCGAGACATACGGTGCTCACCACTCCTGTGAGTGACGATTCCAGGGAAAGAGGGAAGGGCACTTTTGTGCACTGTGCGAAAAGCGAGACCCATATCTCCATCTTGTGGCATGGAGAACTTCAACATTCCCAGAAACTTCTTTGTGCGTCCTTGGCACGTTGGATCATCACGGTCATTTTCGCTGTTTGCATCTCCTATGGCCATAATGATACATACGGTACTCATCAGGGCTTCAAAGCATTTGAAAAGGTTTTCACCCACCTTCAGACGGATTGTTCATTGTGCTTGAAAGATACATGTCCACCAAGCGTTGACTAAATTTGCGAGACTTTCCTGAGCCACAGATGGTCTGACCAGTTTAGAGTCACAGAAACGTCACAGTTTCTGCAAATACCCCTATGTACACATACACTGCTGACTGGGCCCGTTTCAGCTTGGAATGAGACAAGTATTCTTTTTCAGTTCTTTGTCTAATGTTCTTCCAGAGTAGAGAAGACTTGAGCTTAATGAGGATCATGTTAACACCTGGAATGTTCCGTGGACTTCGTTAAGAGAGTCAGAGTTGAATGGAAAAACGTGCATGAGTGGAAAATTTAAGAGAATGTGGACAAAGCAATTTGAATTATATATTCAGAAAGATTGCAAAATAAGAAGCAAAAGATCAGCTATCTCTTGAAAACCAAGCGAGAACTCATCGGTAAGCGCCGTTGCCACTCCCCTTGAAGACCAAACGAACCACTGAGCTAAGAAAAAGAACTTGAGATGGTGCGGCCATAGGAGTAGCATAGGGAAAAGGGTGCATTTTGAAGCCATATTGGTTGGGTCCAGGCTAAAGCGGGCCTGCGGTGCGCATTGGCCGAGGAAGAGAGCAGGTACCGCGGGAACATTGGAGC